CATGCAAACTAAACAATTGGAAAAAGTTGTTTCACTTGTTATAATTTTGTACTTCACTCAGAATTATATTTGAATTGGGCAACATGAAGATGAATAAGAAAAGGTCACAGAAAGATATGGGCTTATTTTTTTAAACAAGAAAATATCTCTTTCTCAGTAACTCGTGATGGTTCCTCAATTGCTTTTAACTTGGAGATTTAAATAGGGAAATAAGTCTAACCATGGTAAACTGAGAGTCATTCTGGAAATTATTTAGTGGATACTTATTCATTGCAATACAGGACTAGTAATCCAGAGTAAAAACTGAAAGAATTGCGGATGCTGTAAATCCGGAACAAAAATAGAAGTTGCTGGAAAAGCTCAGCAGGTCTGGCAGCATCTGTGAAGGAAAAAACAGAGTTAACGTTTCAGGTGCGGTGACCCTTCCTCACCGGGCCCAAAACATTAACTCTGATGCTGCCAGACCTGCTGAGCTTTTCCAGCAACTTTGTTTTTGTTCCTGATGTAAAGCATCCGCAGTTCTTCGGTTTTTATTTAGTTTCAATGATGGTGTTGTGAAAAAAAAAATTGGCTCGCTAATACCCTTTCACAATACAATTTTTAAAAACATCTTTCACGTGGTCTGGGCATCACTGGCTAGACTAGCATTTGTTGTCCATTCCCAAATTGCCCTTGAGAAGGGAAATCTGCCATCCTTACCTCATCTGACCTACATGTGCCTCAAGACTCACACTAATGTAGTTGTTTCTAAAGTGGACTTGGAAATAGCCTCACAAGTTAATTCAGTGACATTTAGGGTTGGGTAATAACTGTTAGCCTTTCCAGCAATACCCACTGAAAAATTGACGAAGAAAAATGACACTATATCAGCCAAGGAGTATGAAATTAAGGTCAGATTTCTGTTTCAAAGGAGTGTATTGATAAACTGGAAACTACAACTTATTTGGCGACCTTTGTCCTCTGACTCAGCAACAACCTAATAGATCTTTAGACTATTTGACTACTTCTCATCTTATGTGATTTGTGCAAGTTGGGGAGGAGTATGGTGTGATGTGACTCCATGAATAGCCACTCAATGATGACTGGGCCAGACCAAGTCACCCGTGGAAGTAACAGAGTCTAGACTGTGTTCTCCATACCAGAAAGAGAGAGACCACATTAGGGTAAGTCACTGCAGAGGGGTCTCATCCATCTCCAGATAATATTAAGAGCAAAAAGAGGTGAAAGAAAAGGTGCTTCACTTTGGTAAGATGGACAAGAACCATGTACAATTCCAAAGTGGGTACAGGAACAGAGAGACATGAAGCAAATGTGCATAAATCGTTCAGGTGTCAGGACAGGTTGAGAAAGCAGTTAAAGGCCGTGTTGTGGGTTATGGTGAGATGTGTGGCAGAATCAGGTGATAACTCTGGCAAGGCCTATCTCAATGTTTTGATCATCTTGCTCCGTCTTTTATGCTTTTCACGTGCGCCGAGGCGAGATTCACATGAGGCAGCGAGAGATGTCAGTCGATGGGGAATTAACACTTGTTAAACACCTTGTTAACACCACAACTCACCTCATTAGTATTCACACTTCCATCCTAACAAACTCGTCAAACAACCTGGATGTCGGGATAACTCAACGAGGAAAGCAGAACATGTACTTGGTGGATTCAGCTTGCCACTTGGTCTGAATGACCCCTGAGAGGGACACTGGGCAGTAGCTGCTCAGGGCGTACTCCCCAGGCACCTGTTGTCCACAGACAGTGGCATCCAGCACCGGCCAATATGACCATCCTGGCCCCTCCCCTGTACATTGGCAGGTTGCATTTAAGGCCACAGGAGCAATTAGCATTGAGAAGCCTGCAGCAGAGACATTTTGTGTGTACAGACATGGAACCAACTCACAGAATGGACCAGGCTGCATTTCAAGGCAGCTTCTTCGCTCTCTTAATGCTTTGTGGTATTTGCTACTTGAACTAACATATAGGGCAGCACTCAGATCATACCATACTAGCAGTGAAAACCATTTTATCTGTTAAAACAGCCTTAACTGTGTCCAATTGTTGGTTGATTCCACCATCCTGCCTCTATGAAAGTTGTCAAAAAATAGAGCACCTGACATCACAACTCTTTTTTCGGCACAATCTCCACCTACAGACACAAGCCTGTTACAACAGCCTACTACTTTTAAAGAGCCTGCAGCAAAAAAAGGGAAGCCAACAGCCATAGCAATGATAAATAGAAGAGAACAGAAGCACTCTTAAAACCAACAATAAATATAAGAAAACAGAAAACACACAACACAGACATTTATTCTGGCAATTTTAAAGGACATAAGGCTACAATAAAAATGGAAAGCAAACACCTGAGCGTGGAATGGCAGTTCACTGACATTCTGTCAGATCTTCGGTTATTTAAAGAAAGAATCAATCTTTACTTTGTGGATCAAGAAATAGCTGACAAGGAAAGAAAGTGAGTCAAAACTCTTATTGCTTTGGTCACGAAAGGGGTAAAGAAGAATAAAGTCTAGCGATGGCCACAAAGACGCTGATAACATTTTACAGATTTTAGAAGATCAGTTTGAAGCTCAAGTCAAATTCAGGACACACAGGCTCGAGTTCATATTGTTTCAATAACAGCCATGTGAAACAACTGACCAGTTCATAGGCAGTTTTTGATACAAAGGTACAAAATGTGATTTCATCAAAGTTCAGTTAGCTAAAAGAGTTATGGGACAACAAGGTGCAGAGCTGGATGAACATAGCAGGCCAAGCAGCACCA